TCATCCTTGCCAACAATTTGCGAAAATGTACACCATTAAATTATTTATAAGACTCAGAATTTTTATACTCTTAAATATGCAAACAGAGATTTGAAATCCTCGAAAAAGTCAGACAAAACCAAAAGAAAAATTAAAATTTTGTCCCATTTATAAATATTATTAATTTTTTTTCATATTTTTGACTGCTTTATAAAAAAGAGTTATTTTTCTTTGTAGTTTTATTTCTTAACTATTCCAATGGTCCAACTAACGTTTTTTCGTAATAAATAATTATCATGGTCCAACAAACGCGCACCTTAAGCCGAAACCGGCATCGCCTTTGTGAGGTAGCCGGTAAAGATGCCGCTGCGTACATTCGTATCTGGTCTAGATAATCTGTGCCATGGGTACAGCACGTCACGATGAGGACAGCGCCCCGCTTGTGACGTATAATCCATCGCATGTGTTCATCTCTTGCTAAGCGATATTGTCGTTGTCCTTGTTTTTCGCATCATAATGAGAGAAAACAATAGAGGCAAACATTTACTGTGCCCATCTTCCACTTAAATTTCGGAATTCTCGGAACGTCGCTCAACGCCCGGTTGTCCAGTGTCGTGCCAACGCGATTTGCGCTGAATATTAGATAAAATAATAATAGGCATTGAGGAAAATATAAAATATGTAAGTATTTTTTTTTTTGTTTATTATACTAGGGCACGTGCCCAAGTGCCTTTACGGGCCAACCGCCACTGGTAGTAGTATTTCGAAATTAAAGAAGACGTAGAATGGGATTTGGTTAGTTATAGAGATTATAATACAAACAAACTTAATTTCGCTTGAAGAGTCTTTCTAGATTATTTTAGGTAGGTATACCAAGTTTTTCGCTAAATGTTTTTTGTAATTATTAGTTGTTTATTAGTTTTGTCACACCCTGTATTACTTATAAAAATTATCCAGTGTTATATAAAACAAAAAAATCGTCAGAAGTCTTATTTCATATACATGAAAAATGTACCTTATTTCAGTAACTGATATTCCTAATTTTTTGAACACTCTGTATAATTTATTTTACAAAGTGCAAGTAAGCATTGATAAACTACATACAAGTGTAAGACGTGCCATAAGTTTCATGATAAAAATATGAATAGCTTAAGAGTGGTAAATATATATGAAAATATTAATTCTGCACTCCATACTTTTGACTCCTTCTAACAGCTCACCCTGTAGAGCAGCAAACTTGAGGTCCATAAGAAAGTTGCCGTTAATGACCTGAAAAATAATATATTAAAATTTGGACAAATTCTGTCAGTACCCAAAATCAATGTAAAAAGTGCGGGGTCCTTTAAAAGAATTGAAATATCTCTATTCCTTTCCAAAATATCCGGCTTGGGAGTTTTTACTGGTACTTGTATACAGTGCACGCCTAAAGTATGGAACAAATATTTTTGGAATAGCGCGAACTACATAAATAAAATTGTGTATATATGTATATCATGTGAAACTACGAACCTAATTTTTGTTTTGTCGATGTTGCCATGTAAGGGCAAACTTTTTAGTTTCAAATGGATCACTCTTATATTCTCGGATTATCTACTTAGAGTATGTAAATGATTTTACCATGTTTGAATTGGCAGGCAAAAAGTAGATAAAACATTTAATATATAAATTATTGGAATAGAAAAATAGCAAAAATGTCAAACCAAAATACTGAGGAGTTAATTGTCAGTCGATTCAAATAGTTTCACATGATACATGTACATCGTAGGCATACAAGGAAAATCCACTAAGTCCTTTTTTTACAAATTCGTGATAACTAAACCGATTAAGTCCATAACTAAAGTCAATTCAATAATAATAAACGTGTTAATTTTAATTTCAACTTCCTGATAAATATTGAAAAAATATTAAAATCTGTTTTTCTGAACCTATATATTTGAATTTAGTGGATTTTCCTTGTACGCCCACAAATACAAAATTTTATTGATGTAATTCGGCGAGCCATTCCAAAGATACTTACACGTTTCCATACTGTAAGCGTGCACTGTATACCTCAGCACATAAGTCCCCTTTCTTGTCTTATATGGTTTAAATTCCACATGCGACAAAAAGCTGTAATTCAGTACAATAGTCACTTTTTAATTGAAATTTATTGCTATCTCGTAAACCGTTGTTAATACAAAGTTGATTAAATGGTGAAAAACACTTATATTTCGATGCCCAATCTGATAACGTTTTGAAAACCAAACTGTCAGGGCTGGTTTCCGAGATATTTGATAAAAACAAATTAGTTTTGTTTCTTTATTCAACTACAGAATGTTTATTTTCAAAATTAGACAAAAACTCATCCAAGGTTTATTTGTTTTATCCCAACAAACATTGAAATTGTGGCACGTTGTTGGCCCTTTTGAAATTTTTAATTAACTGTCCGTTAACTTTAATTTTTCGTTGGGCCGTTGATGGTTTGTTAACTACTTTCCACATTCAACTGTAAAATCGTTATGGCGTAAAATTCTTTATAAATTTACCTATCCAACGATAGCAACAGGTCAGCCAATTATACACACACACAGGGTGTCCCATCAGTGCATAATTGATTGACAGCTGTTTTATTATTGGAAATACGAGAAAATTTTTAATATAAAGTTGTATGCCCACTTTTAACAATTATTCATATATATTCATAAACGAGGGGCTGACCAAACTTATACTTTTTTAAAGGTAGTTACACATATTTGACTGTTTTCACCTTGTCAAACAATTTTAATAGACTTCATTCATTTGCTATGTTGTATACAGGGTGTATCAAAACTCAAAGTTACGATTTTCTCAATTTTTTAAATGGAATACCATGTGTTATACCACTAATTAATTAATTAATTCTGGCACGTTGTTGGCACTTAAACAAATGTGATGGCAAAGTAACTTATAATGATAAACTCGTTATGGCCTAATTTGTAATTAACTGCTCATTAACTTTTATTTTTCGATGGGCCGTTGATGGTTTGTTAATTTTTTCCCACATTCAACTGTAAAATCGTTATGGCCCGTTTGAAATTTGTAATTAACTGCCATTAAATTTTAATTATTCGATGGGCCATTGACGGCTTTTTAACAGTTTCCTACATGCAACTGTGAAATCATTATGGCTTTGTAATTTGTAATTAACTGCCTCTTAACTTTAATTATTTAATGGGTTATTGACGGCTTTTTAACTTTTACCACATTCAACTGTAAAAGCATGGTATAAGTCAAAAGGTTTTTAATTGCCGCATACCTAACCCCAACAGTCCAGGAGAGTTCCATCCCGCGTTCCAAGATGGAGACAACGATGATCCCTTGTTACATACTCAACGAGTAGAGATGTACTATGCGGCCAGTCTCGCATTGTTGGTATTCACTATTCAGTAATCACTGTAATTTCGTACTTTTACATGTAGTCAATTTAGAATATTTTATGAGTATAATTTTTGTAGAAGTTACACGTGGTACCTTCCCCTTAAAAGGTCGACATCATTTTTATAAGAGCTTTATGCAAGCCCTTTGATGGGAAGTTAACATTATTATTATGGGAAACTACTGGCCATGTGCAGACCTTTCACTACTTATAGCTGGTAAAGTAAGACTGTCTTCTGTCGCCCGTTGGGACAAAAAGTCGACTTACCAATTGCAGACCCCCACTGAAAGGCAACTACTTGAAGTAAGATACATATGTTTAAAGGCCGTCAACTTGCTAAAACAAAATGTTTGTTGGAATATCAAGTTGCTCATATGATGGCGTATTTACTTTTTTATCCGGCGTTACGCAAATGCAGGACCACTATCTTCTTTATTTGAATATGAACCAGTGTTATTCAGACAGATTTATCTTAATGTATGTTCAATGTTGAATACAATGATGTAACAACATATTGTATTTAGTGAACATTTCGGAAGATTCGAATATCAACAGGTAAGAACTACGGACCTATATTTTTAGTTAAAAATATTTGGATTGGTATAAACTGTGTTATCGGTTTTAGAAATTATGAAAATATTAAATAGCAACGACAAAATTTTAATCGGCGGGTGTAATTTTCCCAATACATGTTGAAATTACATGGGTAAAAATATTAAACTGTAAAATATTTTTCAAATAAATATTTTCGTCAATAGTAACAAACTTACCTAAAGAAAAATAAATTTACTTTTAACTTTTAAAATATATTGACTTATTTCAAATAATTCATAATATAGGACCGTACTAGCAAGTAACCTTATCTGATAATGTTCAAATCTTCCGAAATGTTGAATAATTACAATATGTTACATTATTGTATTTAGCAATGAACGTGCATTAAAATGGTCTGTCCGAATAATACCGGTTCATATCCAAATAAAGAAGTTGATGGTGGTCCTATAAAAAATTAAATACGCTATCATGTGCACAATATGATATAAAATAAACAAAAATTAAATGAATTTTTGTCTATTTTTAAAAATAAACCTACTGCAGTAGAAGAAAAATATGAAACTAATCGAATATATCAGAAACCGTCCCTCATATATTGGTTTTTAAAACGTGCTCGGATTGGGCTACGAAATATACAACATTCTTCCCATTTTAACTTTGTGTCAAAAATGGTTTCAATTAAAAGGTGAGGTATACTATACAGGGTGTTTCCGAACTTGGCGTCCAAATTTGTAGGGGTGGTAGTTCGCATATATGAGAGCGATTGACAGATTTCATTTTTCCAAAATATTAAAAATAAAAATAATTAAAAATTTTTAACAGGTACGGTCCTGCACAGCGATAGGATCGCCTCGAGCAATACGCACTAGAAAAACAATCGGCTACGTCTTTCGATACCGGCCGGGCGGAGAAATTTGCAAATCGCATCTGTTTTTGAGTTGTAAATCCCGATGAATAACCGATCAAGCGACTATTGCGCTACGCGCTCAGGGTAGGACCCGCTTTTTGATTTTTTTTATAATGGCTCTATTTTGTTTATTATAATTTTTTTAGAAAAATGAAATCCGCCAATCGCTCTCAAATTATGCGAACTACCTACAAATTTGGACGCCAAGTTCGGAAACACCCTGTATTTTACAAAACTATTATTTTATCGTCAAAAGATAATCTGTACTTTAAAATAACTAATAAAAAGGTGATTATGTATTAAAATGTATCTCATTGAATTTTAACACCATATTTTAAAACCAAAAACGGTGTACCCAATGAGTTATGGCCTCAATGATGAAGCGAATAGGTAGTATCAAGTCTATTTTTTTGCTTTAGAATCCATTTACAATATTTTATTGGAAAGAAAATAATTATTTATTCTACAAAATTACAAATATTGCATACATTTTTACATATTTAGCTTAGATATTATAGATTGTTTCGGAATCGACGTATACATTTCAAATGCGTTGCCTAGCAAGGTTGCTAAACAACGTTCTTATACAGTGTTGGCAAGATCAAACCTTCAGTCATGCTTTGCTTGTGTTGAAGTGAATAGTAAATGGAGTTCACATATGCAGGAAAAAAATGATACAATATCAATGTTGCCAGTCACAGGTCGAGTCTGCGGTAGCTAGAGCGTTTCCGACTTATAAATGATAAAATCGATTTCTCTTCGCACATGTGAAGGCCATTTACTATTCACTCCAACACAAGCAAAGCAGGAGTGAAGGTTTGAACTTTCTAGCACTGTATATCTCCAAACGATGGCAGTTATGGTCGATTTTCTTGGAAACGAATTGAAATGTCAAAATAATTTTTCACATTTTTGTATTGAACAATAATCTCGTAATTCTTTCATATAAATTTGACAAATCAGATTGATTTGGAATGAACAACTCGAAACACAAAATAATCTGCAAGACAACAAATTAAAATTTGTTTCTGCTTTGAATCAAATAGACTAACCAGCGTCACATTTAATTTCAGAAATAAACGAATTATTTCTAATTTTGTCAATACAATCATATTCTTTCCAATAAAAATGAACGGTTGAAATATAAAAACTAAAGATTCTAAAACAAACAAAAAAGGAGTAGTTATACACTCTCCAATAGTGTTTTCACCCTGTGAAGCACAACCTGGACATTTACCATCGGGGTGGTAGAAGCCCACCAAATGGCCACCTCTCAGCGTTATTAGCCTATAGGACTTTGATAATCTGAGAGACTATGTGCCCCTGGAGGATGCACAATGGACCAAGTGAGGTCAAAGTGCTGTGGGGCAACCTACTCTCCCCGAACCTTACAAATACAGAAGAACATTGTTAAAACTTAAAAGAAGATTCAATTACTAAGATTTAATCATTCTTTTGCTTCTTTAGCTCTTTGATTCTTGATCGAATTATTTCTCCAACATCATAGTAACACAACTCTCCATTTGAATTTTTATATGAATCTGAAAAATTAAAATTGGAATATAGCTTTCTTACAAAAATTTTAAATTTCAAATATTTATTAAATTGAACCATTCAAATAATTATCCATATCAAAATAATATGTTTAGGCTTCCCATAAATTTTAAACGAAGTTTTACTAGAAGCTAATGGCCGATTCCACCGTTGCGTTAAACGAAGTTTAAATTACTAAGCAAAGATTAAAATGATATTTTTAAAGTAAAAATATCATTTTAAACCTGGTTTATTTCTTAACTATTAGCGGTAGAATTGGCCCTAAATAGACCATTCTACGGATTTTTGTTTTGTTAAAAGCTGTCAAAATCAAAAGTAACTAAGAAAAAAATCGAAGTATAAGTAACTCACTTCACCCTCTTCATATAACCTCACTTTTAACTTTATTCTGTTTTATTAACTGTTAAATGTTTACATGAGGTTCATTTCCTTATTTGATAATATAATCATTTCGATCAGTTGCGGCCATATCCCTTCGCGAAGTGGGGTGGAAAGGAGGGAGGGGAAGGTATGTTATTATTTATTTACGATTATTAATTTTTTGTGTGGTATTGGATAGAGGAAAAGTTTTAAATTTATTATCAAATAATTTTTTTTGCATTAAAAAACTCTTTTCAGATGATTGATCACAAACCACTTAAGTTTTATCTTAAGCGGAGAACATGATCCCATACAGCACACATTATTTCAGAAATGTTTCAGAAATATTTCAAACATATAACATTTCAAGCACAAGTTTCTGGAATATTTCTGAAATATTTTAGTAAAATATTTCACTGCAAATGTTTCTGAAAGATGGTATACATAATAATAATAAACTTTATTTACCACAGTAAAATACAGAACATCTGTTTGCAATATAAATAGAAAATTTCAATAAATAAAGTTAAAATAGCCGATAAGTGCTTTTGCACTTGTTTCGGTTTTACATACTAAAAATATTTAAAATATAACATAGTTTTTTAAAAAATGAAACAAACCAACAATATAATTTAAATAAAATAACGTAGACATTATTAAAAAAAAAAACATAACTTTTTAACAAGATAATATATACAAATAATAATATAACGATACAAAAGTAATTTAAAGCAAGTGAGTACAGATAAAATAAAGGATTTATGTATTATGATAATTTTAGCACTAGCAGTACCTTCGGTGCAGTGGGTAGGATTAGCTTGTTATTATTCTATCAAATTAATGTAATACTGCCTTTCTCTTTGTGTTATCGCTTCCTTTAATTATTTTTTAAATGTTATTTTGTTACTAATTGATTTTATATTTTCAGGAATAGTATTATACATTTTAGTTCCAATATAGGAGTATGATTTTTGCGATATGGACTTTTTTACTAGTGGGTGGGTATGAAGTATTCGATACCTAGTATTATATTTGTGATCAGGGTACGGTGCCTTATCATCACTAAAATGATATCTTATACAAGTATTATAATAAAATAGTTGTCGAATATCCATAATAGTTGATTCATTGTATAAATCATTAGAGGGGTATCTTGAGGGCTTTGACATAATTATTTTTAGAAATCGTTTTTGAAGTACTTCAAGTTGATTTATGTATACAGGTGAGGCTGCCCCCCATACTGTAATTCCGTATCTGAGATGGCTTTCTACCAGTGCAAAATATAGATTTTTCAAATCTTTGGTAGGGAGGTACTCTTTTATATGTTTAAATTTATATATTATTTTTTGTAGTTTTTTGGTGACATAATGTATGTGATAATCCCATCTTAGATGCTTATCGAGGTGTATTCCTAAATATTTTATTTCTTTTGCTGATTGAATAGCGTAGTTCTTACCCTGGATTTCTATGTTGATGTGGTTCAGATCACTCAAACCAGACACATTACAACTAAAAGGTAAGAATTTTGTTTTGTCTAGATTCATAGTTAAAAGTTTACAGTCGAACCATTCTTTTATTATTTTGACATCACCTTCCACTTTCTTCTTTAAATTTGGCCATGTATCTGCTTCATAGAAAATTGCTGTGTCATCCGCATATTCTATTATATCTCCTGCTGAATTTAAACTAAATAGTCCATTAATACAGGGTGTTAAAAAAAAAGTGTCACAAAATGAAATGGTGAATAGTATGACCCAAAATAAGCAGAAAAGTCTTAATAAATATATGACCGCAAATTAACGGTTTCGGAGATACGGACCATTTTGTGTTTATAACAATTTTTTATTATTATAAAAAAACAATGATATTTATAAACAATCAATAACAACATAGAGTTAAATGAGATGTTCAAATACTGACGTAGCGCTTCCCTCGCATTGCCATTTGCACGACCGTACATAAAATGCATGTCAGCTAATTCAATATTAGTGTAAACAGGCATAACGAAAATTTATAAAATTATTCACCCACAACAAAATAATAACTGCAAATAGTATCTATGAAAAAACATCGGTAGACTCCGATAAGAAAAGCAAGTTTTTGAGAATGAAAAAAGATAATCAAAAAATGATACAAAACCCAAAACACTCCGTATCTCTGAAACCATTCATTTGCGGACATATGTTTATTAAGACTTTTCTGCATATTTTGGCCCATACTACCCCCGTTTTATTTTGTGACACTTTTTTTTTAACACCCATACAAATTAAAAAGTATTGGACCTAAAACAGTACCTTGTGGCACACCATACTCAATAACTGTTTCTTGACTTAAATTATCTTCCACTCTTACCACTTGTTTTCTTTCACTTAAGTAGCTTTTAAAAAGTTTTAATATGTTTCCCCTTATTCCTGTATCTTCTAAGGTTTGAAGTAATACTGTGTGACTGACAGTGTCGAAAGCTTTGCTTTAGTCAATAAACAGACATAAGCAGGGTCTGCTATTTTCGATAGATCCATGGATTTTTTTAGTGAGTTCAAGAACAGCATCTACAGTTGAGGTTTTTTCTTTAAAGCCGTATTGTCTTACTGACAACAATTAAAATTTATTTATAAATGACGTTAATCTATTTTTTTATTAATTTTTCAAATACTTTTGATAGATGACTAATCAGTGATATGGGTCTGTAATTATTTACATGTTACACAAAGGTTACTAAACGGGTTATGTTGTAAAAGGAGCTAGAAACAAGCCTATATTCTAAATAATTATAGATTTAGTTGTTGGTTTTTGATATTCATGCGTTGTGAACTTGTTATATGGGAAGCAGAATATGTCTTTAGAAATTAAGGTGAGAACTACATAAATAATGCTTGCTTAGGTGGATCTTCATGTTTTGTTATGACATGAGTATTGTTTTATTATAGTTAATTTAAAACAATATTAATAAAACTATTGTTAATCAAATAATTTGTATAAATCCTTTTTAATTACCTATATTTTCTTTCAGATTAGTGCATTTAAAGGAATTGGTGGAAATGAAGCAATTTGCCAGCTTTGTGGCTGTGCCACTAAAAATAATATCCAAGTTATTCAACGTTTCCAGTATAAAGTATTAAGGAACATCGTCGATGCATCCTGGTACTGCCGTAATACTGATCTTCATAGGGAGTGGAGACTGTTGAAAATACAATACAAAAATTTGCCAGTAGTCACCAACAACGGTTGCTACAACATGAAAACCTTGAGATTATCCAGCTCCTCAACAATGCCAATCTAATAAGAAGACTCAAAAGAACCAGGCCTTTTGAGTTAGTTCAATGATGATAGATATTAAAACAGAGTATAGTGCGGTTAAGTGTTATACGTTAACGGTAGTGTAACTAAATAATTAGACTCTAAAGTACACTATATAGTGTATAGTAGAATGTTAGTTTATGAAGTTTTTCATCCCTAGATAAGTTAGGTAAAAATAAAATTGCTAATTGATCTTAATGATTAGATTATAATAATCGTAAATGTTTCTTTACTTGGAGCATTTTAAAAAAAAAAAACCTAGTTGTTTCAAATTAGTGCATTTAAAGGAATTGGTGGAAATGAAGCAATTCACTTATATATTTTATGAAATATTCTTTAAAACATATTTATTTATTTGATTGTTTAAGAATCAATGTTTGAGTTTTGTGTATTTTAAATAAACGTGTATATTTCTAAATGTCTTTTTTTAGTCTAATAATATATTAAAAAAAACTAGAACACATTTCTGAAATACTACTATTTAATATTTTTAATTTTCATTTCAGAAATATTACTGTGAAATATTATATTTAGAGGACATTTTTACGTTTCAGGCTTATTTCCGAAATGTTTCTGGGATGTTTCGTAATATTTCTACAACATTGCAAATGTTTCAATGTAACATTGTTGAAATATTTCCGAAATGTGTTTCTGCTGTGTGGGATATGATAACAAAATCCTCTGATTTCATTAAAAACATAATATGTTAACAAAATCCTCTGATTTCATTATTGTCCATGTATGTTAGAACCAGCGACATTTAAAATATACAGAATGCAAGAAAAACTCTGAAAATGTCTATTTTTCTCAAAAACCTGAATTTTGGAGTTTTGGGATGCCGATTTCTATTTTATTTGTATTGTTGCCACATTTACCGTTATCCCGATAATAATGATCACTTTGGTTTTTTAAATGCAACACCCTCTATATATTTCATTTTTGATTGTACTCTGCAATCGTAGTTGAACGCTATGTTAAACTTGACTTTTTTAAATTCTATGTTGTATTTAAAAACGAAATTAACCAAAAATTATAGAAAAATCGGTCATTATAACAATTAGGTGTGTCCAGATTTTTCTTCTACTCTGTATATACTGGGTGTACCAATAAAAACTCCCAGGCCGGATATTTTGGTAAGTAATAGAGATATTTTAATTCTGTAAAAGCCAGTTCATAGAGCACTAAGAGAGCTTCAGTTTTAGACATAAATTCATTTTAAATAGGTCAATATGTAGATGGCGCTACGCTCAACATTTTTTTTATGGGAGGATCGTATATAGTGTATCTTGTAAAAAATGTTTTTTAAGCAGATTTTGTTTTATAAACTAAT